CACCCCCCCCCCCGGAGGACTGCCGGACAGCTGCTCCAGGATCACCAGGTCCAGCATCTGGCTCTTGGTGTGTCGCTCCGGCTGCAGCCATTGGCGGGAAAGATGGTGGAGGTGGCTGCAAACCTCTCGGGGACCTTCCACCTCCTGGTAGCGGAAGCTTCTGAAACGCCAGCAAGGAGTCTCTGAACCAGCCAGGTCCTCCTTCAAGATCTTCTGCTCTGCTCTTTCCCAGAATGCCCCTTTGCCCTCCATCCAGGGGATGCTCGGTCCTCTTCCTGTTTCAGGGCTGGCCAAGGCTTCTACACCCATCCTTGATCTCTGCTCCAATGCAGCCAAAAGAGATTCTTCTCTCCCTTCTGTCAATTTCTATCTGAGGGTTAAAGCTGAATCAGTATGCAACCTCTACAAAGCCAAAATATTGTTCTTGCACAGACAGATTGAAAACTGGAAGCCAGGACTTTTATTTACCTATAAAGTCAGATCATGGTAAATCATCCGTATGATAATCACATTAAATATGCATAATGCATATTTTTTTCCTAAAATAAATATGCTTTCATTTCAAATTAAATCATTTTTAAAAACACCATCCAATTTTATGAAACATGTTGCCTCGCTAAATGGGAGTTTCATTTTGAACTATCTAAAAGGGAGCTGCAAGATTCACTTGCAATCCCCAGACAGTGAGGAAGAAGACCCCCCCCCTTTTTCCCCCTATTTTCTTTCCTGACGGAAACTCACCAGAAGGCAGGGAATCAACTAAAAATATCCGCTTTACCTAATCATAGAACCCCTCCCTCAGCTTGGGGCCCATCAGGCCAGAATGCAAACAGCAGGTCTGACATTGCCAAGATCTGGCCGTGAACGTGGGACGGAGCAAACCAAGGTGGGGGAACGTAATCAAGGGTGCACTTGAATCAAAGCTAGTTCCCACTGTCTCCCTGCACCACAAAAGGTTTCCCCGTTTCGCAAAAAAGCAAAACATGGAAGAGGGGCTCCTGACTGCATTTCTCAGAGGCCCCCCTTCTTCTTCCCCGAGACCAGGGGCTGAGCAGGCAATAACCCCCCCCAGGTCTTCCCACCCACCCTCCCTCCATGAGTCTTTGCCCCAGTTGGGGGGGGCGACTCACCGGATCCCCAGAGGGAGGCTCTGTCACAGCCCTAGAGATAAGAAGTCCCCTTGCAGGGAGGGTATCTGTATGGGCTTGGTGGAGAGGGTCCTTTGCAGTGGGAACAGGATCCCCCCACTTGTCCAGGAAGGGCGTTCAGCTGATTTTAACTCTTTAGAGTCTAATTAGCTGGGCATGCCTCTGGCTGTCTAGGCAGCCCCGAATAAACTCCGGGCATGGCACCAGGCAGTGTATGTTGGTCTCATTTGTATAATTATTTTTCTCCTGCTCTTTCAAGGGACATCTTCCCACAAGGTGCAGTAAGCTAGCCGGGAAAGGAAAGGAAAAAAATAGGTTAATGCAAATCTACTTAGAAGTAACTTAGAAGCTCAGTGGGGCTTACTCCCAAGTAGCTGAACAGAGGATTGCAGGTCCAGATCTCAGTGTAGTTGGAAAAAAAATGTCTTTTCTGTGGCTGTTAGAGAGATACCGTCTCTCAAAGCTAAAAATTTACCTCTTTGGGCTGTTGTGTGAGAAAGAAGGGCCATCAGATAAATAATGCCTGAAACTCCCCACTCAAGTTTGCTCTCAATTCATGGTCAGTAGAATTGGAAGTAACTAAAGAGTCTGGGGTTGGACTAAATGACCTTACACAATTATTCCCTGGTGCAGTGTAAACCTTCTACCCTCACTTCTGAACGAGGGAGCAATATACGCATTAAGACCCATCGTTTCCTGATTTCCCTATATCAGTGTTTCTCAACTTTGGGAGCTTGAAGATGTGTGGACTTCAACTCCCAGAATTCCCTAGCCAACCATGCTGGCTGGGGAATTACGGGAATTGAAGTCCACACATTTCCAAATCGCCAAGGTTGAGAAACACTGTTCTTGATATTTCAAGCATGCTTTAATTACTTAAAATTTAACCCCATGTCTTTCATAGAGCTTCCAGCAGTATGCAAGAGAGCCACTTCAATTTCAGTGAAGTGCAGTGAAGGTACTGGATTAGGCCCAGCTTCGTGTCCCCCTCATCCCTGGGAGCTCCCCGACTTAACTCTGGGGCAGTTCTTTCTCAGCCAAACCCCACAGAGTTGTTATGGTGGGAATTGGAGAAGGGAATGCTATGTCTCCGATAGGCCGGCATACAAATTTTACCCTGCCTTGAGTTTCTACCCTGTATTGAGTATCTACCCTGCCTTGAGTTTCTGAAAGACATGCGAAATTGACCTCTAACAAATAAAAAATGGAAGTGCCCTACTTAAGAAGAGCCCCATTATGTGCCAAGTTGATGGCACATAATTAACTAACCAACCATCTACAACGCTTCTTAAACTTTTTTCCTCTCAGGAGCCCTTCCCATTTTTGAAAATTATGGAGGACCCCAAAAGAGCTTTCGTTTGTATGGGTTATATCAATATTTACCATATTTACCATATAAAAAATTACATTTGACGCATTCGCCACTGCTATCGCTTCTCATGATTGTTTGATGGGATTCTAATGTTGTATGATTTTTCAACACAGACTGGCAAATAATTTTGATTTCGCAGGCGCTTGAGAGTTGTGGGGGACCCCCAGGGGTCCTACGACCACACCTTAAGACATGTTGATGTAAAAAACAGTCCAAGGGTGTAGAGCAAGTGCGAGGCTCAGATTCATGTCCAAACTTAGTTACAGACACTCACTACATGACTTGAGGTCAGACTCTGACTATGTTCAACCACTGTGGCTGGTTTAAGCAAGGAGTGTAGAAAAGGACCATTTGCTGAGTTCACTGAATGGGCACCATGAAAAGATGGCTGGTAACATTTTGGCTTGTTTCTCTTGTTCAGGCCATCCTACCTCCCCATGCTGTTGCAGAGATAAAACTGGAGGAGGCCATCATTGGTTGTCAGGTTGTATTGACCTTCAAACACAAATCCAATTCATGAAAACCCCCAGAGAAATTAATGCCATTATTAGAAGACCACCAAGAGGTTTCCACAGGTTGGCTGCAGGCAACTCGTTGCTGTCCACCCGCTCGCAACGGGGCCGAAGAGGCTTCTCGAGAGGCAGAAACGTGGCAAGGAGGGAGCTGCTGCTGCTGCTGCTGCTGCTGCTGCTGCTCCAGCGACCCAGAGGCGAGGGGCGGGCGAGGCCGCGAGGGGCAGCGCGACGGAGGCCGGGCCCGCCTTCTTCGGGCCCCTGCGCGTGCCGGGCCCCTGCTGCCCCGAGGGGAGGCCCGGAGGGGCAGCCTCGGCGGCCAGAGCGGGCGGGAACGGGGCTCCGGCGGCCCAAGGCCTCGGGAAGACAGCGGCCGCCCCCGAATCGCGGAGAGGCCCCTCGACTCCCGCCGCGCCGCTTCCCCTCCCC